GACTGGTAACCACCAGCAGCCTCCTTAGCAGAACACTGGATTTCCACGTAGCAGTCAGCCTTATTATAATAGTCGTGGTGTATCCCGTGGAGGTTCTTGTGGCTCTAGAGGCTTGATAAATGGATACCAGGGCCCCGCCAATGGATTCAGAGGAGGATATGATGGCTACCGCCCTTCATTCTCTAACACTCCAAACAGTAGTTATACAGTCCCAGTTCAGTGCTCCTCAGCACTACTCTGGCCATCAGCGGGATGGATATCAGCAGAATTTCAAGCGAGGCTCTGGGCAGAGTGGACCACAGGGAGCCCCACAAGGTTGTAAGACCCAACAGAGGAATGCCGCAAACGAACACTCAGCAAGTGAATTAGTTTGATTCACAGGATTATGTTTAGCTGCCCAAAACGCACTGGCCAGTGTACTATAATATGCTACCAGAAGAGTTATCTATTTGTTCTCCTTTTCAGGAAATTTATTGTAAAGGGACTGTTTTCATCCCATAAAACAGGATTACAATTGTCAGCTTTATATTACCTGGCTATGGAAGGAAACTATTTTTACTCTGCATGTACTGTCTTAAGCGTCTTCTTGAGCCTTGCACATGATATTCAGATTCCTCACCCTTGCTTAGCAGTAAAACATAATATACTTTTATGGGGTGATAATATCTCCATAGTTATTTGAAGTGGCTTGAACAAAAGCAAGTCTGACTCTTGGACACTGGATAAAATCTACAAGTCAGCCCTAGAGTTTTTCAATGGTAATTGACGAAACGTATTTTCCTGGAGAGGAAGATGGAAGGAGTGGAGTGTGGTTTGCAAAACAACTGCATTTCACAGCTTTTCTGGTTAAATTGGAGCACTAAACGTTTAGAGGCGTACCAAATTATGCATGGGTCCTTAGTCACACATGGAAGGCTGGCTATCAGCTTTGACACAAGCACTGTTCATCTGGCCAAATGACTGTGATTAAAAACACATGTAAATTGCTTTTTTAATAGCTGATAACTGTGTAAGACAAAGCCAAAATGCAAATTAGGCTTTGATTGACACTTTTTGAAAAATATATAACATAATGGGAAATAATCTGGATGGGCCGCTTCTGTATTTAATGAGAAGTATTTAGATACCTTTTGGACACTTCTTAACAGTTTCTTTGAGACAATGACTTTTATAAGGATTGATACCACATATCATTCCTTATGACATGTACATTGTCAGCACTAATCCTTGGATTTTGCTGTATTGTCACCTAAATTGGTACAGATATTGATGAAAGTCTCTAATGGATAATCATAATACTCTTGGTCACATGTTTTTCCTGCAGCTTAAATTCTTTAAAAAGATATCAAATGCCTGCTGCTACCACCCTTTTAAAATGCTACCTTTTGAGAAGTACCAGTATCTGTTTTAGATTGATTTCCCTGATAGGGAAATGAGTCAGTAGCTTCAGTTCTGATGGTATTAGCAAAACAAATAAAACATGTATAATGGGCTGGGGATTTAGCCCAGTGGGTCCGTCGCCTACCTCGTGAGCGCAAGGACCTGAGTTCAATCCCCAGTACCAAAAAAAAAAAAAGTGTATAAAAGTTGTATCTTGAAACACGTGTTCAACAGCTAGCTAGCAGCTTATGCGATTCACTCCCGTGCATTGTTAGTGTCAAAAATTTCATGGTTGTCTCCAGCAGCTGTTTCTGTAGTATTTGCAGTTATCATTTGTCTAATCCAACCCTAATTGAATTCTCCTTTTCTCATGGAGGCATTTATGTTCAAAGTGGTGATTTCTTCCCATAGACGCATAGGGAGAGTCTCAAGTTTGGAGATGGTCGGTTTAGTAGTGACTTAGCCATATGCACTATGTTGGAATTTGTACTAGCAGTTTGAGCACTAGTTCTGTGTGCCTATGAACTTAATGATGCTTGTTGTCCCATTCCACTTTGACTTTATGGAGAATTAATTCCATCTATTAAGCAAAGGCTACTAAGTTAATGGTATTTTCTGTGCAGAAATTAAAATTTTACTTTCAGCCTTTAGCTAAGGAAATTGTCCAGTAGGTACTCAGCTGCTTAAAAAAAAATCAAAATTATTTATTATTAGACAACTGGAGTTTTTGCTGGTTTTGTAACCTACTAAAATGGATAGACTGTTGAACATTCCACATTCAAAAGTTTTGTAGGGTGGTGGGTAATGGGGAATCCTCAATGTTTATTTTTAAATAAATAAAATAACTTCTTGACTTTTCTCATGTGTGATTATGGTACATCATATTGGAAGGGTTATCTGTATACTTTTGCAAATGAGTATCTCTTTTGCTAGCACTTCCCCTTGTGTGCTTTGATTTCATCTGCCTGGGATGTAACACAACCAAATGTAAGCTGTACTTTAGAGGGATGAATAAAACATTCGTGGTTTGTGGGATAACCCCTAGATAATGTGTGCTTACAATCCAATATAAAATTGAGTTTATTACCTGTGTAAAAATAATTTCATGACATTTAAAAATCAAACTTGAAGTAAATAAGTTAAAAAAAAACCTGATACATAATATTTGTCTGTATTTATGGGGTTCAGTATGATAATTCAGTACATGAGTACTGTGCAGGATTATTAACACTTCCATCTCCTCAAATATTTATCAATGCTATATGTTGGGAAGCTTCAACTTTTGTGGTTATTTTGAAATATATCATAATTAATTGTAGACTATAGTATTGTATTCATGTATGTATAGACTTATGCATTTTGAACTATAGATATTTGGACATTAAATCTTTCAGCTGTACATAATCAAGATTAGGAAATTAGTTCATTTAATATTATCCCCTTTGGTTTAAATTTTTTTGCTTGTATTATTTTTAGTTTTTCAATCAGTTGACTTTGTAACCTTAGGAAACAAACTTCTCTTTCTTGTTCTGGGTGGTCTGGACAGTCTCCTTTTTTCCCTTTTGTGTAAGGCAGGAACTTAGCTTCTCTACATGTCCTGTGCCTATATTTCCCTCCCCCTGCACCATTATTTCATCCCTACTTTCACTTCTCAAGAATGGTAATATTTTTATTTTATTGGTAAGTATGAGTGGGTCTTATATAATTTGATTTAAAAATGGAAGAGCAACGGTGTTTTATCATATACAATTATTATTTATGTATTATCATGTACAAATATTATTAACTATAAAACCAAGAGTATTTAGGGTCCATTGAAAAGGAAATTACATTCCATCTGACATAAAACTTCAACTAATTTTTTTCAAAAAGGGAATATGGGGAATATTGGAAAAAAGGTGTCTGATGTGAAAGAAGACAAGCATGTGTCAAGTTATGTTTTAATGAAAATAAAGTTTTGTAAGTACTATTCTACATTTGAGTCTTTTCATTCACTCCCCCCCAGCACCAAGTGAACACTATCAAACTTTATCAGCTGAAGAAATTTTTCTTCTTCTATTCCCTTGGTTGTTATGTCTTCTATGCTTTCTCTAGACATTCTCTCAGATGTTGAACTAATTGTATCTTTCAACTTCCATCTCATATCTCACAACTTTATTTGTTCAACATTCTTATGAAATTTCCTCTACCTTAACCTCCAACCCTTCTGTTAATATTCTAGCTTTGGAAATCTCATTTTAAATTTGCCAAAATGCCTTCTAATTTTTGCTTACTACTTCAAAAAAAATACTGTAGCTTGCCATTGTTGTGCGGTGTTGAACTGGCTTCCTTGTCTATGATGATCACTCATTTTCTTGAAAATCTTGACTTCAGCCTGCAGCAAGCACTGAATGTCCCTTGTCCTAGCTGGCTGGACTGAGGGGGGATGGGAAGGCTCATGTGATCCAGATTTTCCACTAATTGCCCTAACCAGCTCCTCATTCTGGTGATCTTCAGGCTCAAGGGTCTCTCTGGAACTCTCTAGGGAAGACAAAATCCTGCACAGCTCTAGCCTTATGTTGTGAGCGAGTTGGAGGCTGCAGCTTCCTCCACTCTGAGTTATCCATCAACCTGAAGCCATATACTTGCCCCCTTTCAGAAAATCATCAACATTTGCTGGTGACTCCATTCCTCCTGTTCACTGAGCAGTTTCAGCTTGATCTCATTTTTTACTCTTTTGCTGTCATTTCAGTGGAATTTGAAAGAGGAAGTTGGTAGACACAGGGACTCAGTCCCCCACTTTGAGATGGAACTTTCCTGGCTTTTATAATAGAGCTGCTAGTAACAAGTGTTTCTTGTCTCACTAGATATTCAGAATGAATGAGTCACAATATTGAGTTATAAGAGTTTTCCCAGATGACCTCAAACAGGTAGTTTGTTCTCAAACTAATATTGTTTTTAAAATTCTTGTGGCTATGGTTTTCTTCTTTTTATGCTCATTTTTTCCTTACTGGTTCTCTCATGGGGCTCTCCTTCAATATACTCTTCTCTTCTAACTGGACACTTCTGTTACATCATAGACGCAATAGATTACCCATAAAGCAAGAGTCAATAAACTTTGAGAGTATCTATTTGAGAGATACTCCTTTGAGCAACATGCATGAGCTGTAGGGCATGAATTTTGTGACATCTATTGAGCGAGTCTGTGGGTGTTTATCCTCATTAATTTGGGTCTCTCTTCAGTTAATTAAAAGATGCCAGTTAAAGTGAACCCTGAACTGGATTTATAGATTTATTATTCTCATTGGAACATTATTTAAATCCTAGAATCAATACTAATTATTTACTTGATATATTTTTATTTTTTCCTTAAGCATCATTATCTATCAAAAGAACCATAACTTAGTTCACCAAGAGTAAGTTTTTTTCACGTAAAGATTATTTATAATCAAGATATAATTTTATATTTCTTATTGATAGTCAACACCTTACTTATCAATAGGGATTCATTAGCAAATGTGCCAATTGTCTTCTCCCTTGAGTCTTAACACACATAATGTTATTCCCAAAAGAAACTCACAAATTACAAAAAAAACCCCAAACAAACAAACAAACAAACAAAAAAACAGTACTCAGCACAATCATTTACTATGAAGAAAATTTATTTCATGTTGTGGATGTAAATTTTAGTAATAATTCTGAAGTCATTCTTCTTGGACTCTGTTTCCAAAATATTAGTTTAGCTACTCAAGATAAAATACATTATCTATGGATGTTTCAAAATGTCACAAGAGAAACACATGCCAAAAGTTAACACATTTGTTTAATTTCACTAGGAACAAATGAACTGCTAGGAAAGTCAAGATTGCAGGTGTTTGTACTATTTCTATGGGGTTGCACAAGTGTCAGTGGTTATCAGGAATGGCTATGGTTGTGAACATATTCCAGGTGAGTCAGGTGGAGACCGTCTCTGAGAGCCCACTAATCCTATTCCACAGGCCTCAAGTGGCAAAAACCATTTGTTTCATGCTGTGGTTCACAGGCAATGAGAAGCAAATGCCATCTCTCCTTGGAGACTCTTCTAGCAAGAAATTAAGGGGCTTACCATGGAAGTAACCTGAAGAATACATCCATAGATAAAGTTTCTGACTGCTTTAAGTAAAAAAGTACTGATGGGGAATAAAGATTTTATGTCCAGTGAGCAAAAGGGCTAGAAAAAGTTGGCAGTGTCAGTAGAGAAGTTATGTCTCTTGACAGCTTCCAAGTGGGATTGTAGACTGGAAATGGCAAAGAAACAGCCTTTGAAGACAAATATTTTCAAGTGTTTTTGCATATTGTAGTAACTCCAAATAACCAAACTTTGCAAAACACCTTTTACCCTATTATATAAATAACAATTTGTTTTTAGCCTCATAATTCTAGCAGTAGATGAGTGATTTGCATCCAATCCATGCAACAAAATTTTTGGTTCAGACAGCATCTCCAAAAATGAAATAAAAAATTTCCTGGATCATACGTCTAGGTTTCAAAAAGAGGGAGAAAGCAGCTCTACAACATAGGTAAAGAAGATTCAACTTAATTAGTGCTTTTCTTTGCCTTTGTCACAGAAATATATGTTTTGAGTTAAAGAGATATCTCTATATAGGGAGATTTTAAGTGGAATAAGGCATTCAACTCCTTTCTTTTTAGACTTCTTAGGCCCAGTGGTTTGTTCCAAGTTCTATAATTAACTGGTGTCCAACCTGCTTATAAGTCAACAGGTGATTAAGTGTGCTCTGCCCTGAATTCCTATTTAGAAACACTTTGCCATTTAGAAGTACTTTCTAGAGTTCATATCTTTTATGCTATGAGGAGAGCAATTCTTAGCTTTCTAGACCACATAAGGTGAAACCTTACCAGTTTCTCCAGGCAACACATAACAGCTGGGTCACATTAGGTAGATCCTTGGAAAGAGATGATTAGTAATTTAAGAGTCCAAAAAAAAACAACTTAAAACTAAAACTTCCCCCTCCTTCCTGCCTCACCATAGCTATTGCATGACATCTATTCATTAAAACTTTTCAGTTTTAAGGCTCTAAAGCTCTCTTAGGCCGTTTCAGAGAATATGAAGTTGAGCTGAGCCAAAGCAGGGCTGATTTTATATTGTGGTCACTAACTAAATTAATAGCATTGACCATTTGCTGAATCTTTAGTATGAAATTCTATATGAAAGTGAGATTACTGGGCATGATGGTGCATGCCCGTAATCCCAGTACTTAGGAGGCTGAGAGAGGAGGATCGCTCTGAATTTGAGGCCAGCTTAGGCTACATAGTGAGACCCTATCTCAAAAAGTAAAAAAAAAAGTGAGAAGATTAATGTTAACATGGTTCAGTCAATATTTGCTGAACATGTCACACAGGGTCATCTCTGGATTTAGCATCACGCAAGTCCTGCAGAAAGTACAGACTATTTTGCCATCACCTGGGATTCAGATATACTGGTAGTTTCTCTTCATTCTTGGAGGCAGTGATTAGTTTAATGCTAGTTACTCTCTGGAGATGAACTCTGGTCCCATGAAACATCATCTGTACAAGAACTGGGTCAGCTGTATGTTTATGTGTCATGGGATTGGAATGCACATTCAATAAAACCAGCCTTTTGAAAGTTCCCCTACCATTGTGAGTAGCATAGGTTAAATTTACAAAACTGTTTGCTTATACTCTTCTGATAGTTGACTCTGCTTATTTGGAGTTAGGTGGGAGTTTTCAAGCAGTTCATAGGCATCTTGCATGTTGGGGAGACTCTGCTTTCTGCCCTGGGTGACCCTTTGGATCTGAATACCAATACTATTCTTTGAACAAACTCTTTGGCCCTTGTAAATCTGAGCCTGATGTTTACAGATTCCAAACTTGCTGAGTAGGATGAACACATCCCTTTGGAAGGTCTTGGTGAAAACAGCATAGAGGAATGGATTGGCACAGGAGTTAAGTGGATAGAAGAGAACCAACAAAATTTTAGAGTTCGTGACAGTGATGAGAGGCTTGTTCATTAGTGCTGACAGAGCATAGAATGAGATGGGAGCCATGCACATGAAATCAGTGAAGATCAGCACTGCCATCCTCTTGGCAATTTTGGTGTCTTTGTCCCCAGGGTTGTACTGGGGATTTCTGACTGTGATGTAGATCTTCACATAACAGGAGCAGACAATGATGAAGGCAACAATGTTGAGCAACAAAACAAGGACAATGTATGCCAGAGCAAGAGGGGTCTCTGTGTCCATGGGCAGGCAGATGCTGACCTTGGCATAGCTACTTATTCCCACCAAAGGGAGCAGGGCAAGAAGAAAGCAGCAAACCCAGCCGCCAACCATGATGGCATATGCGTGCCTGAGCCGGAGCTTCCGGTCCAGGCGCATGGCGAAGGTGATGGCATACCAGCGCTCCAGGGTGATGACTGTCAGTGTGTACACTGACAACTCACTGGCGAAAACAGTGAAGAAACCAGCTGTGTTGCACCCAGGGCCAGTCTGCCAGTCAATGGCATGGTTATAGTACTCCGAGTGAGTGTAGAGGTCCACAGAGGCAATGAGGAGCAGGTATATCCCCATGCACAAATCTGCAAAGGCCAAATTGCACATAAGAAAGCGTGGGACTGTCAGTTTATAGTGGCTGGTGAGGAGGATAAACAGGACAAAGACATTTCCCAGGAGAGCCAGCAGGCTAACAAACCATACCACAACTCTCAGGAACCTGTAGCCCATTACGTCTTCACAAGGGTTGAACTCATCTGACTTGGGGGTGCACACCATATCTTCATTGTCCCCACACACAGTGTAGTCATAATGACTGTCAAAGGCCTGTAGAGTCTCCTCTTGAGGGTATTTGAGCTCCTCGCCAAAGCCAATGATTTCATCCTCTTGTTCTTCAAAGAAAACATAATAATGTGAACTACTGTGGGTATCCTGGAGCTTGGAGTTTTGCTTGTACCCAACACTGCTGTCACTCAGATCTTCATATTCCTGATAGGTGGGGCCACTCAAGGCATTCACAGATTTTCTCTGACGTAGGCTCTGGACACTACTTTCATTACACATTAAGGACTCAAGGATTCTGCAAGGCAATGAAAATGAATCACCACTTTGCTTAAAACCTGTAACATTGAGAAACATATACAAACTACTTACTCTGATGAATATGATTCTACAAGACTATGCACCATCTGGTCGGGCCTGTCTCATCCACATCATTGCCTGTTTCCTCCCCTCACCTACTGGGACCCAGTGACACTAATCCTATTTCTCATCTACCATCACTTCAAGAATAGCAGTAAAGCCGCAAATGGCAATGATGTTGAATTAGGGTAGCACAAGACTCTACCACTCACTAGCCGTTTTACCTTGGGCAGGTCTCTGAACCTCAATTTACTAATTTGTAAAATGAACTTTACAAACCCTATTTCATATAGGGTTACACCTGCAGCATCATGACTGCTATATCTATGTGCTAGTTATTTTTATTATTATTCCTATTAAGAGCTCTAGAATTCTATGTTCCTTTGCCTGTACTCATTATTCGGTTTGAAACTCAAATGTCTGTTTCTCAGAAGAATCTTTTTTTTTTTTTTTGTACCAGGGATTGAACTTGGGTTTGCGAGAATAGTGTTTCTTGATGTCCTCAAATAAACTGTCTATCACTTGTGTTTATTTCCTTCAAAACACTATCTGATATTTTCTTACATTTCCCTTGTTGTTTTCTGGTTTCCTTCATTAAACAGTAAACAAAACGCAAGAGGAGCTCTTGTCTGTCCTACTCACTATTGTGGATAGGACAGTGCCAGGGATGAAGTAGGTGATAAATAAATACTGGTTGAACAAACGAATAAATGGACACTCCCATGCAGACATGCTCATAGAAAAACGATTCCATTTTTCTGTAGCTTGCCAGACTTATAACAAAAGAAATTGTTCAACTTGATTCAGCAGCTGAGTAGAGTTTGACCTACCAAACTCTGTTTAAAATGATAGCTGTTCTAACCCGTTTGAAGGTTAATGAGAAACCTGGACACTGATCCCAATGCCCACTTTAGCCTTCTACTCATCCCTGATCTTTTCCTAGTTGCTGCCATATGGCATCAGTATAGACTCTGCTGTCACAATTCTTGTGTCCTCTTCCAGGCTTCCTGCAGTTTTATGCCCATATTGGCCTTTTTTGCCCAGTGGTTCAACTTTCTTGTTTGCTTTTGCCTCCACAATTGGGTCCCAACTTTTTTCTGACAATAAATATGAGTATAGAAAGTCAACCAGCAGATACTTACACAGAAGCTGAGAAAGACTGAAATAAGAGATAAATAAATGAAGATGGAGGTAGGAGAACAGGGAAAGGTACAAGCTATAAAGAGGGAAATGTACAGGTAAAAGTTCAAGTGAAAGCAAAAGTGACAAAATATACAGAGGAAAAGCAGGCCATCCCTCCTTCACAGCCTCATAAGCAGTCAGGTATTAAAATAATATATATCACAGTTAACGTTTATTGAGAACTTGTACTGTCCCATGCCTTTCCATTTCATCTATTCTTTATTCAGCTGCTCCTTTCATCTTATGAAAACCCCTCTCATGATGACTTTGTGATCTTCACTTTTAGAAGCTCAGGGTAGTTATGTAACAGCTAGAAACTGATAGGGCTGGGGCACAAACCAAGCTTACTGCAAAGCCTGTCTCATGTAACCAATGAGCCGTGACATGCTCAAGGCCCAAGCTGATCAGGCAGTCTACTTGCTGTGCTTGTAAACTTGTCTTTCCTGTTGCTTCTGGAAATGAGAAATAGAAATCATGTCTGTGTAACCTCCATAAGGTTCTACATGACCTGGTCATGACTTTGCCTACTGTCTTATCTCTTACTACTTTCCATTCCCATTTCTGCTATCCAGAAACACTGGCCTATTTCTCATCTGCAGCTGCTTGCCATCCAGCCATTGAGTCCGATGGATTCCTGTTGTTATGGATGTTTCTAATTCTTTTCTACCTGATTTTCAAGTCACAGAGATTCTTCTCTAAACCCAGAAATTAATTTAACTTCCACCATGGCCTTTAGTCACTTATTCTAGGTGCCTGACACTTACCCTCGGATTTTCTTCTGATTCTTAAAAGCACAGCAGTGGCTCGGATAAGAAAGGTCAGCCCGGATGAGGTGAAGGAAACTCAAGGAAAGTGGGAGTTTCTTAAGGGTCCAAGTGTTTCTTGCTATCAGTTCCTTCAGTTGCTCCAGGCCTTTGGACGGCAAGGCAGTAATACTGGTATAAGACACATCCCTGGATGCAGAGAACAGAACAGCATGGGGAGGGAGTGAGCAGCCAGGATATTTCAGTCCTTGGCCAGAAAATCAAACAGACCTGAGGTTAATGGGAAACTGATATGCTCCTTCCAGCTACAGACCCTGAAATCTGAGTTTGTAGTCGAAGGAGGAACACAGGCACTAGTCTAAGGAGCGATATTAGGCATCTAAGTCAATGTTTTATTAGGAACTTCTATTTTCATTGTTTGAAATTGGAGTATTCACCAGCACACATTCTGTTTCCATAGACAATTCATTTTATTCACCAGAATATCTTCAGACTCATGGAATCAGAGATGAATGTCAAGTTTACGCTGCAAAATGACATCATTTAACTATTAAGAGAGAAATGAAATAAAATTGAACAGGCTCACAGGGAGGTATATTGCTATCTGTTTCTGTGGGAACCAGGGGTTTGGGACTGATTCACTGATTCACCAGTAATATATGAAAATATTCTAATGATGCAGAACTTGAAAGTCCTAACCAGTCACATTGTGCATTCATGACTAAGAAAAACTTCTCCTCTGCTCTTGCAGAGTTTATTTAGAATACTATAAATGTATTCCTGTAAAGGAAATTCAATTATTTATATTAACAATCTGAAATGAGATTCAAGTCATTTCTTCGTACTATGAAATGCAAGGATGATGGGAATAGGAATTGGGTATTACATGTTAGTAGAATTGATTCATAGCTTTTCACTTGACATTCATTATTCTTCTCTCAGTCCTAGTGTGTCCAGGTTTATATCTTGCTCCATCATTTTTACTTGCACTGAATAATAGCTTGAATAAGATTATAAGTATTTAACATCCTTATTTTATAGTTTATCAATTAAAAATTAATTAAGTAGTCCTTTATATTAAGTAGCATTTATATTTAAAATATTTAATATAAATAGTAGTGTCTAGGTAAAATGAATTCTTATATTTTCAGATTCTTCTTACACAGCATTGTAATTGGGATTTACATTATCAAGGTACAAGGCTGCTAGAGCTTGCTTTTAGTTTTTGTTTGTTTCCTTGTTTGTTTTAACAAACACAAGGCTCATATATTAACCTCATTCTCACCACAGAACTGTGACTCTTATGGGAGAAGGGTATGATATTTGCTATTGTGTATTTTATTTGATTTAAATTCTATAGCTCTGTATTTTCCAAGCTTGCCTGATAGTAAGAATTACCTGTGGCATTTATTGCTGTATAATCTCCAGGTGAATTTTAACAGGCAAACTGACATAAATGAAGGACTTTGCAGTTATGAGAGAGTTGAGAGCCAGGCTTCTGTACAGCTGAGAAGTAGGTAAAGTCAGACTTTGCCCTGCTCCCTCATCTGTCCTTTGGATGCCTCTTTCTCTTTTAGCCATGCTGTTTCCAAGGTGTGGCATCTTTCTGCTTCTAGTTTTCTGGAAGCAACATATGTGTCTCTTTATCCAACAATGCTTTCAAGTCAGTGAAGAAAGCATCTCGTAGCTTATTTTTCCTGCTTTGCAATTGTGTATTCACTGGAAAGAATTTATCCTTCTGAGGGATGTGTTTGCATTTTAACACTTCTTGAGAAAACATTTCAGTGACCATTCTAGTTATTGCATTATAAAACACCCCCAAACCTAGTGACATAAAACAACAATCTTTTTATTACGAGCATAGCTTCTGTGGATCAGGAATGTGAACAGGGTTTAATGGGGTTATTGAAGTTAATGTCTCTGTTCTGTGCTATCTGGGCTCAGCTGAGAAGACCTGAAGGCTGCGGTGACTTGACAGCCAGGAGCTGTGGTTATCTGTGGGGTCCTCCACTGGCTTGTCTCAGGAGTAGACTTAAAGCCTGAGCTCAGATGGGGCTATTGATAAGGCTGCTACACGTGGCTTGCACTTCTAACAGTATAGCAGCCAGATTCAGAAATAATTAGCAAATGAAAGGCAAGGGACATAGAATCCACCTCTTAATGGGATGTATGTCAAAGACTTTGGTGCCTTATTTAAAAACTGCCATAGTGGTCTAAATGACGGAGATTCCATTGAGGCAGTTATTTGGGGCCGGGGCACTATCGGCTCACCATTGCAAATCAGCATTTTGGGCTGAGGCACTGCCCTGGATCAGCATCAGAATCACCTGCAATACAGACTAAGCCAAACCTCAGACCAACCCCTGCCGAGGGTTCAGAAGCTTCTCATTTCAGGACCAGGGACTGAATCCAGGGGATCACTGAACTACGTTCCCAGCACTTTTTATTTTTTAAAATTTTGAGATAGGGTCTTGTTAAATTGCCCAGGCTGGCCTTGAACTTGTGGTCCTCTTACCTCAGCCTCCCAAATAGACAGGATTATAGGCATGCACCACCACACTTGACTTAGAGTACCATTATTAAGTAGGCAGATACTGAAATTTCGACAAAGAAACAAGGTGTTTTGGGTCCAAAGAGACTTAGCCAACTAAGGGTGGAGCTCTAACTAAAACTTGGGTCTGGAGTTCTCAGCTTCAGTGTCCCAGGAGCTTTACCTCTTATCTTCATGTCTCTGGAGGCTGAACACAGATCCAAGTGCAGCACCCCCTTGTCCCAAGGGACTCATCAGGTTCTGGGAGAAGGAATTGATTTTGTGGTTTGCCTGAGTGTCTGCAGTGGGTATATTCAGGGGCCCTCTGGCTGTGTCCTTGTCTTGGGATGTGGGAGAGTGCTTGGGCAGGCATGGAGATAATTGGTGTTGGAGAAAGTGCATAAACCTGATGACAGAATCATCTGTAACACAGCGAGTGCTTGGGATTTAGTGGGTGCTCAGTAAGTGTTCATTCCCTCTGGTGCTCCAGTTTGGAGTTTATCTGAACTCAAGCCAAAAGAAAGGACCATCAAATACAGCACCAGCCCAGACTTTAACCTGTGTATGCAGCTACTTATTTTGTTTGTTTGTTTTTTTGGTACCGGAGATTGAATTTGGGACCTTGCTCTTTCGAGGCGGGCGAGGGAACCACTGAGCTAAAGCCCGGTCCATGCAACTACTTATTTGACATTTCCGCTGAGAAGCCTCACAGGCATCTCCAGTTTAACAGTTCTATCCAAACTTAGCTTTCGACCCCCTCCTCCCACCCTGGCCTGCTCCTCTTCCTTATTCCTGCATCATAGTAATCTGCACTCTGATCCTTTCAGTTGCTCAAAGTAACCTTGGAGAAACTCATAACATCTGGGGCTTCCTCACCATTACCCAATCAACATTTACTCTACCAAAAGACCAGTGGATTTGAACTCCAAAATAATCACAAATCCATGTTCAGTCAGCCTTCTGCATCTGCAGGTTCCAAATCCATGAATTCACCCAACCACATATTGAAAATATTAAAAAAAGTAAAATGGCAGCTATACTAAAGTACAGTCCTTATTGTCATTATTCCCTAACCAAAAGTACAAGCTATTTACATGACATTTACATTGTATTAGGCATCATAAGTAATCTAGAGATGATTTGAAGTATACAAGAGGATGTGTATAGTTTACATGTAAGTATGTCATTTTATATATAATACTTGAGTATTCCAAAATTTGATTTGCTATCTTCATGGGGTCATAGAACCAATTCCTCACAGAAACCAACAAGGACTGCATTTGCATCACCAATATAAGCTTTTCTGTTTCTAGCTAACATCATCTCTTTCCTCCAGTAGCTTCTTTGTTCACTCTTACTCCCTTCCAATTCATCCTCCATAGAGCAACCAGAGTCGTCATAAGTGAGTGAGGGTGTGTTCTGCTTAAAACCTTGCAGTAACTTCCCAGTGTACCACAAATAATGCCCATTCTTTATACCATGTCCTTCAAAGCCCTGCAGACCTGGCCCTTGACTCCTCTCCAACTTCATTTCAGATATCTGAGGCTACCGGATGCAGCTGTAAATGCCCATTAGGCATGCTGCTCCAAAGTGCTCCAGTGGAGCTGGCCTCTCTGCATGCAGCTCACTCCACTCTACCACTGTGCACTTACAGGACCAAGCAGGGGAGACCTACTATTTTTTATTCTTTTTATTTAAAAAATTATCCTCTCTCACAGAGATCTGCAGCTTTAAACAGACAGTAAGTGTTTTCAGAAAGGAAAGTATTAGGTCCTTTTCACTTCCCAATGGACATAGCACTGCCTCTTCACTCAAAACATCCTAAGTGGAGTGAATCTTCTTTTCAAGCCTAATAGTATTTTTTTAAAATTCTCTGTTTTCCCACCATCTTGCGGGGCCTAAAGCTTCAGTGTCCTCATGGAATATCTCTTGCCCTTGTCCTTCATTCATGCCATCAATATTTCAACAAAATACAGTTGTGCTCCCCTCACCCATCAGATGTCAACTATTTATGATTCTCATTGGTATCACCTTAGTTTATCAAGCTTAGGTCGAAACTACATTTCCCCTGAGCTTTGCAAAAACTTCATAATGGTCTCCCAAAAATCTTTGACTAATTCCACCTTCAGACTTAGAATATTTTTTCTAAAACATGATCTCATTGTGCGCTTGCAATCCATGGCTCCTGCAGGGTCTACCAAATGAAATTTAAGCTTCTCAGAAAAGTATTCGTCGTTCCCCATTGGGAGTCTCTCCCTGAATTCTGTTGTCTTACTTCTTGAATATCTCCTTCATTTCAGTGGAGAATGTTTTCAAATAACTTCTTAGAAAAGTCACATGAGAAAGATATTTTCAGTGTTCTGACATGCCCTACTCTTCCATTCAACCTGGTTATCATTTTTTTCTTCAGGATTTTAAAGGTTTTACCCTATTGGGTTCCAGCAACCAGCACTGTTTTAGGTGTTATGCCATTCAAATTCTTGTTCTTTGATCATTGACTTGTTTTATCTCTCTGGAAAATGTATTTTATTAGTTTTGTTTCATTTGTGCTGGGTATTGAACCTGGCGCCTCCCACTTAGGCTCTGCAACTGAGCTACACTTTGGCTCTCTGGAAATTTTCATGACTTTTTCTTTATTCCTGGTATAAAATTTCATGAA